CTCTCAGTGGGGTTACATCCCCTATAGCAAAAACCTCTCAAATTTTTTTTTTTTTTGCCAGAGAACACATGTGTTCCCTGGAGAGAGACAGAAAGAGAGAAAGTAAGAAAGCATCCCCTTTGGGAGGTGGTCATGCCACAATCCCTTCTCCTCCATTTCTCTTTTCTTGGGATTCTGGGCACACAAGTGCCCAGTGTGTTTTTCAGGCCATCAGGTCCAGATCTCACACTGTGCGGCTGACCATGTGGGATCCAGCTGCCTTAACCACCATGCCACCAGCTGGCCCCAATATGCCTTTAATACACACAGATACCCAGTAACACCCAAAAACTACTGGCGTGAAGGCAGGAAGAAGTCCATACTCCTGATGTCAGTGGGATGGGCACTCTCGTAAACTAGGTCTCCAGCCTGGAAGACCATCATAAAACCACTCAATGCATATACACTAGCGATAGCAAATGTTTTCTTTTCCAAAGAATGTCTTAGAAATGGGATGCGTCTTAAATTACTGAACACTTAAAGGCCAGCAAAGAGAGTAAATGAGATCTTCTCTAGGACTTGATTTGTACTGAGCGCTCTGGTGAGGGTGTAAGAAATGATACACCAGCTTATTGGTGGGCCACCCAGCTCAGTATTCATTTTTCACCTGCTACCAAAAACGGTTGGTGGCTTGTGCCTGTCATCCCAGCCGCTCAGGAGGGCCGTGGGTTTGAGGCCAGTCTGTGCAACATAATGAGAGCCTACCTCCTCACCACCCCAGCCGAAAAAATAATAATAATAACCAAAACAAACATTTCGGGAGAGATCCTGCTAGTTCACCTCCTTGGTACCTGAGAGATGAAGGGTACAACTCCATCAGCCTTGATTTTCTCTAAAACTTCCATGGGCTTCAATGATTTAAATTAAGTAATGAGAAGAAATATGGAATAATAATAATTTAAAAACACTAAAGAATGATGTTGTCATACATTTTTATTTAACTCTGGAATTATACTTAGATTTCCTTTTAAGCATAGATGCTTCTGAAATTATGGGAGTTTACTTATTACTGAATAAGTCTTGCAAAAAGCTGAGAAGGTGGGACCAGCAGGTGATGTGGAGGTTAAGACAAGTGGCTCTCACAAGGCTATCTGTGTGGTTTGAGTCCTGGACCCGGCAGCTTGATAAACACTCTGAGCTCATTCATGTGTGCCCAAAATCCTGAGAGGAGAATAGAAGAGAAGGGATTGCATCGTGGCCATCCTCCCTAGGAGGTGATTTCTCGTTTTCACGCTCTCGCTCTGCCTTCACTGTTTTTCTCTGGCAAGCGCACATACCCTGTGCCAAATAGACAAGTAATTAATAAATAAGAGCCGAGAAGCTGCTACAGTTCTCTGTGCCATCCTCTCTACCCCTTTGCCCCGGTGTCTGGGGAAGGGACCCAGCTTTTCCCACACCACAGAGGTGACCAGCCTCTGTCTAAAAACTGCTTCATGCCTGCTTCCTTCTGAGGAAGGGGTTTAACTGGGGAAAGATTAAAGGTTTGATTTCTTCCCATACCATTGGGGCAAGAGAGGAGACTTTTCTTACTCCCTGCAATTTTCTCTTTCTGTTTATGATGAGTTGGAAACTCCAGGCAGAATAAGAACAGATATGGCAAGAAAATTAACAGAGGCCCAAAGGAACAAAACCAACAGTGGGGTTCTCTACCTCCAGACTTGCCAACAGGCATTTAGCATTTGCTCAAATGATACACAGCAGTATTAACTGGAGGTTGTTGAAAATTACAGTATATGCCAGCTGTGACTAAAGGTGGAATTTGGAGGGTTCGGGCGGTGGCAACAGTGGTCTTAGAGCTGGACCCACATGGGAAAGGTGTGGGTTCACAACCTGAGGCCTCCCTGAGTGTACTGGGTGTGTGCATGTGTCCGACCTGGGCTGGCTGGGGGTGGGGTGGGGGTTGGGTCACGGTATGATGCCTATTTGGGTGCCTGTCTTTTTCTCTCATGAAAGAAACAGATTTAGAAAAAAAAGTCAGGGATCAGCTCTGCAGCCAGCGGTTAAGACAGCCACATCCCACCGGTCCCAGACCCAACAACCTAAGAAAAAAGCTGGTGATACGTGTGCAGGTGCCCAAAATCCAAAAGGAGGGAGAGATGGAGGATAAGGGGTTGTAGCACGCCATTCCTCACGTTCCCATAGAGAGCGTTTTCTTCTCTCTCTCTCACGTGGGCTTGCACACTTAGCACACACAAAACACACACACACACACACACACACACACA